CAAATGTTCCCAAAATTATGTTTAATGTAGATACCACAACATTGTACAAAATATATTAAAATCCAACCAAATTCAGTTCAGTCTTTCGTATGAAACGTACTAAATTTCATTTTTGCCTGTTTTTTGTGTAAGTCAAAGCTCGACACAAAAAAAAAGCCAATTTGACTCTTCTTGTTTGTTTTGTATACATTTTCACCTCAAGCTACATGTAACTTTGTAAAAAAAAAAGTTTGTTGGCTAATGAGGCGTCAAAGTGCTCGTTATGGGGAGGGAGTGCCGAGTTGGATGGGGACGGAACAAAAAGCAACACAGCAGAGGGGCGTATTGTTTCACTGTGCCATGGCGGGGTGACATCACATGTCCACTAAGCTGCCCTTTGTATGCCCCGCCCTCCTTCTGCTCCTCTCATTAGGCCCTGATCCCAAAATTAGAAGCTCCAATGAATACCACATCGGGCTGGCACGTTGTGGGGGGAAAAGCCCTTCTGGCCACAGGAATGCAATCTTTTTTTTTTTTTTTTTTGTCTTTAAGTTTAAATCCACACGAGGCAAAAAAAATTCCCACATTAAACAATGCAAGGAGGAATTATCCAATATTTGACACTAGTATCGCAATATTGTTTCATAAAACATCATGACTGATATTTGGGCCTGGTATCGAGATACTGTATGGCAAAAGGTAACAATTTGATTCGTCATGATATCAATGTTTGGTGCTGGTATGGCAACACCGTCCCGTAAAAGCTAACATTAGTCATTGTGATATAGACACTTCACTCTGGTATTCTGATACTGTACCATAAAAAATGATATATTTCAACAATAGTCATCTATATGCTTGCGGCAGCAAACTGTAAAACTTAATATGATTCAGTATCTGAGTCTGCAGTTACATTATCGCAGTATCAATAATAGATGCTAGTATCGTGATACTGCACTGTAAGCCATTTATTTCAACACAATATCCATTTTTTTCGTGCTTGTATTACAGTACTGTGACCTGAAACACAACGATATCATTCACAGGCACAACTTAACGTCAAAGACAAGGTGGTCCCGTACTTTTTCAAGAATTTTTCCACCATTCCCCTGCCCAAATCATCGAGTGGCATTCAATGACATGGTGATACGCAAACACGCACCTCTGCTTGTGAACTCGGGCGCACCCCTCCCCTCGCGATCTGAAAGGTCATGAGAAACATTGCGCTAATCCCTTCACCGTCCCTGCTTCTCTTCTGAGAGCCGGGGGAGGGGGGGGGGGACTTTTTGTTTATCCCGAACAAAAGGGACGTGTGGGAGTGAGCAAAGAGTTCGCGCACCAGAAGCACCACCTGCAATTAACAGCTTACAGGTCGGCCCCTCCCTCAGTGACCACGCGGATGAGAGGAAATGTCAAGATTACGTGGGAAGGAACTAGGGAAACTTTTGTCGTACGGTCTTGCTTCTGGCGGAAGTGGGAGGACAGTCACCTTATACCCTCGCTACTGTAATTGCAGAGGGCAAAGGAGGACGTTATCATCATGCGGCTCACGCGTTCGTCAACGAGGCCTTTTGTTTGCCGGCCCATATGTTGGATTGGCCTCAATTAATGCGGACATCTGCCGAGGACCAGGAGATGTGCTCCAATTCCAACTTAACTCTGTGATAATTGGTTGACAACATAGCTTCAGCCTGACAATATTTAAAAAAAAAAAATGTAATTCACATTGTGATACAGGATATCAATAACGATACGTGTCCGTATCGGTGCATCTGAAGAAGGCAAAACTCAAGAATGCTCATGACTCTCAGCGACATGCATCGTGATATTTTGCCCACATTGTTGACATCATCACGATACAGCGATAACGTCGTACGAATTGAATTTGTGTGTCCTGTCGATGGCAGCGAGGCATCATCCAAATAGTGAAGTGGAAGAGAAGCATGGCAGATCATATGCATGCATGCATCCAGCATGAGGGCCCATGGGTGGTGGATCATTTGTCAACCCACACAGGAGGCATGCTGGTAGTCCCACCGCACCATAACAACCCCCACCCCTCCAACACACACACACACACACACACACACACACACACACACACACACACACTTCAGTGGGGGAAACTGGGTGGCAGAGGATGGGAGGATGTAGCCCCAAGCAGAGCGTGACGTCCCTTCACTTTGCACAACTGAAAAAAAAAAAAGAAGCCTCAAAACCATTAGAAAAAAAATCACGAGTCATGGGACTTCAAAAGCAAGCAGTGTGTACAAAATAAATACAAAAATCACCCAACACAAGGATGTTAACGTACAACGCCAAGCAAGGCAAGAAAATTGTGTCTCATCGTGTATGAGTACAGTTTGGGTCAGCCCAAAGAATTTCCACTCGTCTCCAATTGCATAACCCGTTTTTGCTGCCCTCAAGTGGCCAATACAAATACTGCACCTTAAATTGGAGTTCTCATTGTCAATCCAGTAGAATTACTTTTCTGACTCAAAGTCATCTGTTGCTAAGCAGAAGGCATGTAACAGTCGCGCCTCCTAAGGACAAAAGGCAGACAGGAACAAGTCAAAGATACGGCCCTTCATTTTAAATGCAAGTGCTTTGTATTCAATACAAACATTCTAAATAACTACTTCAATGATTGTAAAGGCATGTAGACAAGTGATTTGCTATCGTCACTCAGATTAACCATCAACACTAACCCTAAACCTCAAATCCAACTGCCAGCTCTTCCCCTCATCCCTAACCTAAAACCCCAACACCAAACCTCGACTGTCACCCGAAACACACTGCCGAAACCGCAGTCCTAACCATGAACCCTAACCCTTAAACCAAAATCTAACACCTTCCCCTAAGCATCAACTGTAAACTTTAACCTCAAGGGTAAAACAGAAGCCCAACTCCCACCCCACCTCAGCGCTATAATTCAACCACCCCCCCGAAGCTAAACTTGAACCACTCACAATTAGCGTGGCTACTTTTGCTCTGGGTCACTACAAGCTGGAATCACGCCAGTCTGAGTCGTCAGGGTGGGATCTGAACTCATTTCTATGCTGGGCACAAACGCAGTTTGAAAAGGCGTACGAGGAACAAAAAAGGAGGGTGAAGTGTTGGGGAGGGGGGGGGCTCAGTTGACTGAGTGCCCCCCACACAACATCCCACCCTTGTCCTCCATTTCTGCTTTGTGAGAACAGTACCGCAGTGTTCCGGGAGCGAGATTTATCGGCGTACCCTCGCGCATGGGGCCCGGGAAACAAAAAGGAGCGCATCACGCGAGGGCAGAGGGGGTGGCGCGGACAAGGGGGCGCAGCGGCGGGTGTATATAAACGGAGGCCGGCGTACATTCCCGATCCCACGGTCTCACTTGTGCTACGTCACCCCGTTTGCCCGTTGCCCCGGACCGCAGCCATGGCGTTTGACGGAACTTGGAAGGTGGAACGCAGTGAGAACTACGACGCCTTCATGGAACAAATGGGTGAGTGGCAAGAATCTGAAAATCTTCTGGACCTTTTGGGGTGCAATGACTTGCTCCCTCAAGGGTGCGACAGTTGCTCGAAGCTCCTCGTCGTTAAGACCTCGTACCTTGATTGGTTTGGGCTTCAGAGACAAGAGCCAACTGCTAGCAGATCCCAATTTCGGATCCTCCGGGGGATATATTTTGGTCGGGCTGGCGAACCACAGGGAGAATCGTTGTCGATACATTTGGCAGAGTGACAATTTGGTGGCAGAGAGTCAATCTCGGGAGTGGGGAAGGGCGGCGGTGCCCACTTCACGGTGCAGATCTGCTTCCGCCATGTTGAGATTTTAGTGCACCACATCCAGAGAGAATGAAAAGAATTGCTTTGATAGGTCACGGGTGAATTTGGCTGTGAGCACTCTCACAGGGGCGCAGCCCTCCCTCTTGCAGATCCGCCGGCCTCTGCTCATCTGCATTTCTTTGAGTGAGCTCCCTAAAGTGACTTTTGTGTTTCGTGTAGGCATCAACGTAATGAAGCGCAAACTCGCAGAGCACGACAATCTCAAGATCAGCATCCAGCAGACAGGAAACAATTTCCACATCAAGGAGTCCAGCACCTTCCGCACCAAAGACATCCACTTCACTCTCGGGACACCCTTCGACTACAGCCTGGCCGACGGCACCGAGGTCTCGGTGAGTGGCCTAATCAACCATTAACATGTCTTACTAATATACCAAAGTTGTACTATTCGTGAGCACGGAGAGTGTACTAGTACATGGACCCTTATTAAGCCGTACTATGACAATTCAGCACTCTTGTCCTTTCTAAAAAAATTTCCCACCACTTGTACATACTAGTACACAATTAAACCTCACTAATAAACTGTTGTGCTGCTGTTGTAACGCCACTAGCCCAGTAAAGCACAATTAGATTCCTTGTGTCTACTGGAGGCACAAGTGCACGCTCGTCCTTCTACTACTGCTCTGTGTCATCTCAGTAGTGAGAGTATACTAGCACGTGGACAGGAAGAATATGGTCGAAACGCATACTCGTCTGACTGGGATGTTTGGGGCCCGTGTGTTCATCAGGGGACGTGGGAGATGGAGGGCGACATGCTGAAAGGCAAATTTACGCGCAACGACAACAACAAGGTGCTGACCACCACCAGGATCCTGCTAGGAGGAGAACTCGTGCAGGTCAGTGGCGCCCATGCGCACTGTGGAAAGCGCAAAGTAACCAGGACACATAGTGCCTTGCTGCACTTAATGGTTGTAGATTTTTCAGGTATTTAAACGTTTCCTTTTTCATGCCCCTGCAGAGCTACAACTACGAGGGCGTGGATGCCAAGAGAATCTTCAAGAAGCAGTAGTTTTCCTGTTTTTTTTTAACCCAGCTTTCTTTTACTTTATCTTTTCTAATACGAAACATAATTATGTTACTGGACAATATGGCAATATTATTAACATTTTCTATCGAAAAAAAGTCCATTTAAATGGTTACATTTGTGCAAAGAATTGAAATAAATATAAATTTAATTAAAAGTGTATTGGTAGTTTGTCATTGGGATGTTGAAATACCTGTAATTACAGCAACTGTCCACATGAGGTCGGCAAATGTCATTCTTGTCCATGTTATTTCAATCTGTTTTATATTTACGATATGGATTTCAATGCCCATGAATGTATTTTTTTTTTTTTTTTTTTTAGTCCTGTCATATATTCTCATCAGATCTAGTAGTCGGCTTCGAATATTCTTTTGTCATACATTTCAGGTCGAATTATTGAAACGTGGACTGACTAGCGCGCAGTCTCTTTGAAGATATGGAGGCGCAAGTCGTCCTTCTGACCACCAGATGGTGCTGTGCAGCTCCTAATTTAATTAATTATTGACACGCACAGACGTTCACGCAAGCGGGATCACTCTGTCGAATTACTGAAACGAGGACTGACTGGCGCGCAGTCTCTTTGAAGATCTGTAGGCGCAAGTCGTCCTTCTGACCACCAGATGGTGTTGTGCAGCTCCTAATTGTGTGACACGCACAGACGTTCACGCAAGCGGGATCACTCACGCACACACGCACTCCTCGGCACGCCACCTTACAAAAGCAACTCTGGGTCATACAAATCGGGATCATGTCGATCTTTAATGGCAAACGGCCTGAAATGTCTTCATTGAACATTTTCATAAAAACCTTTTTTTGTTGTTGTTGTTTTGAGACAAACAAGGCTAGGCTAATATGCAGCTAGCAACAACATATACACAAACAAGCATGTACTGTACCATATTAGAAAAACACCCCAATGGCATTTGTTTTCTTTTCGTTCGTTTTTTTTTTTTTTAAATCAGGATTTCACAGTGAATTATGTAGTATTTATACAGTATATGATACATACAGTACAGTACGTTCCAACCCGTCAGATACAACACACACCCACACATACAAATGAATATACAATAATACTTACATTGAATTATATAATTGGGAAAACAACACCCATAAAATACGCACGCACACACTTTATAAATACTTGGAAAGAAAAAAAAAAAAACGGCATGAAAAAAATGCCTCATAAATGAAAAAAAAATCTCGGATCGGATACCATTGTGCATATTAATAATTGTTAAACATCAACTAGTCTGATAGGAAGGTGTATTTGGGCCACACATAAACAGGAATAAAGTTAGCCGAATATATGCGAAATAAACAACTCGATGTACACGGAATAAAGTCACGAATAACTCAAAAATAAAATGCATTCACCAGAATAAAGTCATCTTTCCAGGAAAAATATGATGGAGCTCAAGTTGTAATATTGTGAGGAAGAAACATCTTAAAAAAAGGACAAATCAATGAAAAAAAAAAGTCATAATAGAAAATTTGGGCAAAAATAAAGTAGTAACATACCAAGAAGGAAAAAAAAAAAAAAAAGTATGGACTTCATTTTCACAACAGAACAACTTTTCACAACACTGCGACTTTTTCACACGACTTTTTTATCGTAATCGCATTTGTTTATGCTGGTCCGAATTTTTTTTTCCTAGTAACACAACTTTTTTTTCCTGGTATCTTAGGAATTTATTCATAGAATATTGTGACTAATACAGTGTTGCAATTTATGTCCGTTACCATTCCGGCTTTTTTCCTGTGGCCTTTTTGAGTCATTTTCTTTCAGTACAGTGTGGTCCAAATACGCCTTCCGAGATACGACGCTACCTAACGGGGAAGATTGTTTACGAAAACGACATGTAAAAATTTGGACGTCAAAATGTGGCAAAGACAAGATTTTTGCGATGGACGTCGCTACGGCAGACTCGGCTCCCTTCTTAAAGATGAACATTTCAATACAGAAAAGTAGTTCGGCTGCCTAAAAATAGACAAAAGGAGACTTCAAGTCAGCGCCCTTAACTAAAGAAGAAGAAGAAAAAAAAATCCGATTGAGGACTTGATGAAAGGCGTCAAAAAGAGAAAAGTTGCACGATCCGAGCTCGCTCAGCTCCAGTGTACAAAATGAAATGCCTTTGGTCTGTTGCTAATTATAGCCGTGTATTGCCGTCTCGAAAAAAGAAACACTCGCGTCAACAAGAGCACGCCAACAGTACGGCTTTGGTATCGCACTCTCTTCTCGTTGGCTGGCAAAGAAAAAAAAAAGCAAAAATACAAACAAAAAAAAAAAAACAAAGCCACGGCACTAACTCCAGAGGTCAAACAAAAGAGTTTCATGTTGAACTAGGCGGAGGTAATCTGTTGGCATTTCATTTGGACTACCATGTAGAGGACAGCCCTAACAAAAAAAAAAAGAAATAAGGAAAAAAAAAACCTAATAATTTGTTCGATTGTCAGATAAAGTCCTAATATTGTGAGAGGGACACGTGTAATTTTACAAGCATAAGAAACGAAAAGTCAAGAAAACAATTCTGACTTTGATGGTCATAAAATTGCAAGAAAAAAAAATCTTTATATTACGAGCACAACCAGTGTTTGTGGGTGAAAAAAGGGGAATGATTTTTCGTAACACAAATAATTTATTACAATTTTCTTGTTATGGCGAAATGCCATCTTTTTTTTCCCGTTATAGCACAAATTTATTCATTTTTTTCAAGGAATATTGGACCTCCTTATATACTGTGTGATGAAATCTAAACTTTCATTGCAACAAGATGACCACTACTTTCACGACCGACGCTTTTTCAAGCAATTTTGTAAAAGTAGTCTTGCAACGTTACTTTTTTTATTGCAACTTTACGGCTGTCTTGGAACACAACAGCTTTTTTATTTTAATGCGACAATTTCTTGCTGTTAAAATTATGGCAATTTCTTTGGAAAGTAAAGAGCTGCGTTCAGAAATTAATGTGAGCAGAGCAAGCTCCGACTTCTGCCGCACAGAAAGACGAGGAAACATCCATATCATAACAATGTGACTTTTACTTTTTAGTTTAAAATGGCTTTCCTTAACCAGAAGTCATTTTGAAGACAAAATACAATCGTAGTAGATTAATACACCTTGTTGTGCAAACCGAAAGGTGGTTGCCATGACTACTATTCTTCTACTTCCAGTGAAAGATCTTTTTTTTTTT